GAATAAAAGAGAGAGAAATAAAAAAAGAGACACGTGGAGAGACAAAAGAAAAACAATTGCGATCGGTTTCGAGCGACTGAGATTGGCGACGGATGGTGTTGTAATCTTAGACCATGTATACTGTTGGACGCGGCGTTTTGTGTACAGTGCGTGCACAGAAAGTCCACGAGGGCTCGGATAACGCGGCGATAACTGTGTTCATTCCGACGTCGCACGGAACGAAGGACGATCGTTTCAAAAAGGCCGACGTAACATGAATATAAAAAATAATAAATAGTTCTTCTACAGACGTCCATATATATCTATTATATTCTTGTTACTTTCTTTTTTTCTGTTTTTAAATTATAATAACAAATTATTTCATTTTATCTCTGTCAAATAGAAAATGATCCGAGGCCGTGTCTGCAAGTATACACGGTCCGAGAGGTTGTAACGGGGGTGTGTTTTGGTTGATGAAGGGGGGGGGAGACGAGTTGCGAGCACACGGGGGGTGAAATTCTCATCGATGCATCTGGTGTGCATGCTACTTTCGAGTGCAGTTGCGATGATCGTTGCAAAGGAGCAAAACGAAAAATAAAGGAAAAAACGTGGCGATCCGAATGGTCTGCGACAATTGTCACCCATCGCCAGCGCAAGGGTGCGCGGGGGTGGCACGATCGGTCCATCCGAACGCATTTGGACGCGCATCGCGGCTGTTGACTCGCGAACGTTTTGTACGATCACTTCAGAAACCGTGCACAATTAATCGCGATTAAATCTCGTTGTTGCGGCGCGTTTGACGTTTCCATTTGTTATCGAACCCTGAATAATTTTTACCGAATTAAACGATTAAAACCGAATAATGTTTCGCAGCTGCGTCGATCGGCATTTTTCTGTTTTTAATCAACTTTCCGGATTTGTTTTACTACGTAACAGTGATATTTTTAAGAAAAACGCTGTTCTATCCTGCACACATTTCCGTGCATGAAGTGGAGTTTATAACTAAATGGATGAGTATCTTATTGATAATATCCTGCATATTTCTCTAACAAACACATCCCTTACGTCCTTTAACACGATTATTATTTATTAAATTAGCTTTGCGAATCATTCGTTGAACTGTGCTCGGACACGGAATTATTTACATTAAAATCATTTACGTACTTTGCATTTTCGCAAAGGAAAAAGTTACTTCAAATGACCGCAGCAACCCCTCATTTTCGGCTGTTAGAATAATTGTGGAACACTCTGTATATACAAATCGCTGTCTCCTTGTTACGATGCAAGGGGTTGAATATTCCGTATAATTTTCGCTAAAGAAAATTTACGGAAAATAATTTCAACATACCCGTGCACCGAGATGCAAAAATATCGATAACAGTTTAAACGAATGAACAAAAACGGAATCTCGATAACACTGTCAGGAGAATATCAACGATTGCCATTTAATCCTCGATGCTTGATCCTTGACTCCGGGTCTCGCGAACCACCCCTAAAATTCGGCCGACAAATTTAAACGATCTTCGCACAATTATTTCAACCGATCCGATCGCTAATAATTACAATTTGATTTTCAACGAAAGAAAGACGCCACACGGCGATATCTTTTCTCTTTTCTCTTTTGAAGGTTCTCAGCCGAACGACAGCGTCCAAATGCGCGACAGCTGGAGCCCTAATCTGAACGAGCGACCATTCGGCCCGGTATCCTCGTCGGTCCTCCCCCGAAACGAGAAGAGTCAGTGACAACGTTATAGGTAGCGGCCAGCCAGCACACGGTTCACCCAGTGCGAACGCGATAAACAATCGCGATATAGAAGTGAACGAGCACCGGAGGTTTCTGTTACGAACGTCCTTGACCTGTTTCTAAAGCGCATCGGAACGGTGATGAAGCGTGTCTGCGTTCGAGGATGCACCGGTGCACTTTCCAACGAGAATCCTCTCTCTGTCCGCGCGCGCGCGTCGTCCCCGAATAAATTCGATCGGCTTGTTTTCGTTTCTTCCCTGTTGTTCCCTTCTCCCCCCCCCCCTTTAAATCGAACACGTCGAGAAAGGTCTCGTTGGAACAAATGACCAGGTGTACGATGTTACGTGAACCATAAACGAAATAAAAAAAAAGAAAAAAAAAAGAAAAGAAAGATATTTGATATATATGTATATATGTATAATGATTCCACAGTTGCATCGGTGCATACCATGTGAATGGTTCCACGGTTGGGGTCCGCCGTGAAGTGCGGGGACACCGGCGCAGCACCTGCTGCCCAACCTGGCGCCGAACCCGTCAAAGGTGGCGGCGAACTGACTGGCGTCGACGGGTTGCTGCTATAACTCGATACTGATTGGTCCGTGGGGTAAATCTGAAAGGTCACAGAACGCCCAGTGTCACGCGAATTCTTGCTGAACAGGGCCGAGCACGAGGCCCCTTCTCGTCGGGGCCCCTTTGTGCCCCGAAACATCCCTTGACGAACTCGAAGACGTTCGAGCTTTCGAGAATCGAACGTGGCGGGACGAAAAACTGTTCAGGGATTATTTTTATGCAAATTATAGTTATCTCGCGAGCTGTATTTTTAATTGTTCTATTATTCATTCAACGATCTTCGGTAATAATAAAATAGAGCTAATTGTGTGTGAACGTAATAAAACAATATTTCATGTTCAAGGTTACATTGCTTTCATAATTTCATTACAATAATTTTATTACGTGTAATCAACGAGATCTAATAATGGTAATAATCAACTTTGGTGATAACGAAACGAAGCTAATTGTGTGAACGTAAAATAAGACAATATTTCATGTTCAAGTTAAATTACTTTTATAATTTCATTACAATAATTTCATTACGTGTAACCAACGAGATCTACAGCTCAGAGCGTTAAAAATAATTTAAAAAAAAAGATTGATTCACTTTATAACCTAAACTGCAACATCTAAATTGCAGAGAATCAACAGTTGCTTCTAAATATATTTTATTATTGAAACATCCTGCTGTAAAATCTTACACAAAAATATCGTCACTTATCCTTATACAATACATAATATAAATAATAATTAATCATTATTAATATAAATAACAATAGTTCACAAAATGGTACAATTATATTGCCGCGAGAAATAAAACAAAAATTGCAGAAGTATTCGCAGCATCGTGTAATGCGATTAATAATGCAATGACTTAACCCTTTGCAGTCGAAGCTATTTAAATTCGAAATCCAAAACATGTTTTCTAATCTATAGTATTTCCATCTTATACGATTTATTTATTATGATTTATGCATATGAAATTCAGCCTATTCGCAAGTACAATGCTTGCAATTTTAACAGTTTTTTTTATTAATTATAAACGAATCCGATATTGTTACAATTATTTTCAAAAATGCTGTAACAATTTTAATGGCGCCTCAGCGTCGCCCCTCGAGTGCAAAGGGTTAAAATTAAAAAAATTGAATTTGTTCGTCGATGCCCTGTATATAGACGGCGATACCTGCGATGAAGGAGATAAAGTTAGGGGATGATCCCGGCAGGGGGATGGTGTACTTACTCTGGTGCTGACTACAGAGGCGAGAGTCTTGCCGAGGTTGTCCCCCGTGGCGGGTTGCTGGTTCGTCGTTGGTGCAGAATTGGGGGCGGAGGGTGCGGTCGTCGGTGCACCGGGACTATGACTATATTGCAACGACGCCGGGGATGGTGCACCGGTACCGCTGTTCGCCGCAACTGCGCCGCTACCCCGGAATGTCGACATTGGTGGCAGTGAGGCCGCACTGGTCACCGCCGAGCCCAGAATCGGCGCCGCCGGTTCTCCGTTCGGCGACATGGCCGAGTACGCCTGCAACGATCACATCGTCACCGTCAACCCCTTTAACGCTACGCGCGGCCGACATGTGTTACATCGTGACGGCGGCAACACCGAATCCGTTCAGACTTCTCGCTAATTTTGTTGGCGAGATTTATGTTACGATTTATTATGTTATTTATAGAAATTTATTCGAAAGTTTATTGTTTCCTGCGAAAATGTTACTTAGGAACCGCCCCCATTTTTAGGAACTTTTATGCGAAAGTACCGCGATTTTGGGACACCCTGTAGAAAACAAGGTCTCGAAGACGCTAGGAAAATGAATAAGAACGTTGCAACACTGTTCCCGATTTATTCAAATTATTAACTCCTTTGTTCTTTCAAGTCCGAGCAAAATACTGTTTCGTTCTTATCAATTAATCTTCTTATCAATCGTCGAGCGTGCAATGTCAGCGGCGATATCAAATTGCGCAATAAATGTAAATTTGATTTCTCTCTCGAGAAATCGTTACGGTCGAAAAAGTTCGCCTCTCATTGGTCAGTATTTTTCGTTCATTATTTTGTTAACGATGCCTCGGAGGAAATTTTCGTAAAGAAAAAATAACCTCGGGAATCCGTAATTTTCCGGAAGTACCATAATTTTGGGACGCTATTTTAGTACGTTATTTTTCGCTTTGTATAATTCAGTGGAAGATCTGACCACAGTAACTGGACTCGCGACAAAGGCATCGATGTCTCGGAGGAAATTTTCGCAAAGGAAAAAGCTACTCCAAATGACCTCGGGAACCCCTAATTTCCCCGGAAGTATCATAATTCTGGGACGCTATTTTAGTACACTATTTTTCGCTTTGTATAATACAGTGGAAGATCTGACCACAGTAACTGGTCCCGCGACAAAGGCATCGATGTCTCGGAGGAAATTTTCGTAAAGGAAAAAGCTACTCCAAATGACCTCGGGAACCCCTAATTTCCCCGGAAGTATCATAATTCTGGGACGCTATTTTAGTACACTATTTTTCGCTTTGTATAATACAGTGGAGGATCTGACCACAGTAACTGGACCCGCGACAAAGGCATCGGAGACAATTTTCGTAAAGGAAAAAGTTACTCCAAATAATCTCGAGAATCCCTAATTTCCCGGAAGTACCATAATTTTGGGACGCTATTTTGGTTCCCTATTTTCCGCTTTGTACAATGAAATAAGATCCGACCACAGTAACTGGACCTGCGACAAAAGCATCTTCCTGCCTGTATTCAAATAAAATACTACAACGTAGCGAATAATAAATAATTCAACGACGTTTCTACAGCAACAACCCTTTCGCATCGCGAGATGAAAGCTCGTCGAATCGACCAAGGTCGCCGGCCGCAAAACCAAGCGGCGTCGGCGCCACCCCCGAAAATCCGTGCAACGTTGTGTTCGCTACAATCCCGTGTAAACGTTCGAGTTAGACGATTCGGGGAGATCAAAGGCGGCGGACGTCACGGACGACGAAATCTCGTCGCGAGTTGCAACGATAAAGAATCCGCGGCGGGACAACAAAGTGCGTCGAGGGCTACGCCGAAACGACGCGACCGCCGCGAAGATCGGTGACCGTGACGCGGTCCGGCCGACTTGGTCCGCGACCTTTCGAATTGCTCAGCTTCATAATGGACCGGGGGTGCATGCCGGGGGCAAGCTTTGATATCGGATACGCTTTATAGCGCGCAGCCACGCACGCTCGCACCTACTGAAGCCCGCTCGTAAAACGTCTAATTTTAAGCGCGGTCCCGGCACCGAACAGCGAGAAGAGTATTTATCAACAAATTAGAGGGAGGTTTGCGTGCGCGGTCGCGGACCTTCCTCCGGCCCGGGGGCGTTGTTAATTGTTCGCTTTGCGGCCGGAAAGAACGAGGCGATAACGACGGGACAAGCTGCTTTTTCTTGCCGACGGAACGGACCAACGTGCTGTGTTAGAGAACAAATTGCAAGGGAGATTATTATTTTTAATTCGGGCGGCGAGCGAGGTTTCTTTCGGGAAACGAAAATTGCTTTCGGTAGCTCGGTGGTTGGTTCATGCGTATCGGAAGTTTCAGATTTATCGATCGCATGGTTTGCTCGGAAAAAATTCCGAAACGTCGCCTAATCTTCTGTATATCGCAGGAGGCTGCGCGTTGGACGACTTTTAAACGTCGATGGAATGAGTGAATGATGCGATTGTTGATTTGGCAACGAGATTTTTCGGGAAGAAAAAATTGCTAGTGGTACTTCGATAGTTGACTGAGAACGCCTACAAATTTCGTACGAATCGATCGCGTGGTTTTCTCGGAAAAAATTCCGAAACGTCGCGTGGTCGACTGTAGTTTCTACTTCTTCAGCGTCGACGATGAACAACATGATTTTTAATTCGGCAACGAGTATGACTATCTGCAAAGAAAAAATTATGCTCGCTACTACTATAGATGGATCACGCACCGTAAAAATTTCAAGCAAATTCGTCGCGTACATTCCGCACAAAAAATTCTGAACCATCGCCTAATCGACTGCGTCTTCAACTTCTTCAGCGTCGACGATGGATAACATGATTTTTAATTCGGCAACAAGCACGACTTTTCGGAAATTAAAAATAGTGCTCACTACTACTACGGATAGATCACGCACCATAAAAATATCAAGTCAATTCGTCGCGTACATTCCGCACAAAAAATTCCGAACCATCGCCCAACTCTCGAACATCTCGAAGCTGTGTTTCCCGTCTTCCGGCTGAAAATTTTGAACTTCCAGCTAGCGTAACGACGAAACAAGCGTTCCAAGGTCACAGGAGGGCTTCAATCGATGCCACGGTGGCAGTAAACCCGGATCGATCAGGGCACAGCGCGCCGGATTCCATGGGGTTCGCCTCTTCGGAACGTCCGCAGCGGAGGATTTCGTGGTAGCCATGAACGGCGTAAATCAAACGAAGGCTGCACTTGACTAGAAACACCGAGTAGCGGGAGGAAGGTTCTATATATAGAAGCCACTGAGTCATTTCACGTTGCTCAGAGTACACTGTCAACAGTGTCTCTCAACCGACGCGCGTCGACGAAGACAGAATCGTCGGGGTGTTAGACTGCGAGACAGCCAGCACAACGGCGGCAGCCTGGCTTAGCCAGCGAAATAAGACGATCGCGAGGATGGTCGACCAGCTGGTTCAAGCTCTCCTGGATATCGCTGCTTCACGACGAGGATCAGAGGGTCGACCGGAGGCTGACCTAGTGGGAGTTAACGACGACCGCTGGTGGATCCGACAGTGTCAAACGAGTCGAATACTCTTGTTGGGAGTCGGGGAAACGGCCCGGGGAATTTACGATGATGGAAATATATTCCTCGGCTCCGCAGGAACGTGTTTCCGGCTGGATTAGCCGCTGGGCGTCTTTTAGGAAGCTCGGCGATAAATTCGAAATCGACGCGATCGTTCCTCGGAGCAATTCGTGCGATCTTTCGGCGGCAAAGAATCGCAAGACTCGCGCGGGAAAATATTCTACGGCGATTTAAAACGAAGGGTGGACTCTATTCTATGATCTAGAAAGCGAGGACTATAAATTCCACCGAGAGAACTGGATTTTTTAATAACCTGTTAACCGGGGAATTAATTTTTTCTCAACTCGTTTCGCAACGGCGATTTCTAGTCGCGGTAAAACATGATATAATCGCGCGAAAGAGCAATACAAAAAATCACTTTTCATTTGTCGATTATCCTGACATAATCTTGACAATATATTTTATGACATGTACGGAAAGAAATCGTCCTGCTGGACCCAGCGTCAATAATTAATGGTGTTCGGCGTTCGAGGATCCTGTTTCCCTGAAGAGGATCGTCGAACACGCTCCCGTGAAATCGCGGTGGAGGATCGATCTTCGACGCGCGAAGATAACCAGCGAGGTTCTAATCGAACGACCTCGACGCCAGCTGGCCCGACCAACGACAGAAATTATGGGGGAGGTTCCTCTTGTCTGTCACGGGGTTCCCGGAACGCCAGGTCCGAAGAAACGAGCGTAGTCGGGAGTGATTGATCGCCGGCGGCCAACAAGGGTGCCGTACAAACGAGAGAAAGAAAGCCGAAGGGAGAAAAGAGTCGCTTACCATGGGGTCGTGGGGGAGGTGCATGGGGTAGGCTGGCTGGGCCAGGTGAGGGGGTGCGTAGCCGCTGTACGGGGGCTGGACTCCGCCGCCGCCACCCGTCCATGGGTCTCCTGGACCCGTTCCTGCCGCGTTCCCATCTGCAACAAAAGAAACACCGTTATTATCAACCCTCGACGATGATCTTCGATACTTTCACCGCCGTGTCAGTCGGCCTCGAAAAGTTCGTAAGGTTAAAGTTCGTACACCGTACGAAAGACTTGTGGTATAGATACATTGATAAAAATTGGCCGACTTTAATCGACGATAACTTCGCGGAAAATTATGGTAGGATGATGATGTTTTTTTTAAATTAAAGCTTGAAACCTCTACTTTGAGACACCGTTTCTCGATTTTAAGGTTCGCGCACTCTCGCCACTGTGACCCTTTAAATACGTGTCTGTGTTTGTGACTGGGTTATAATGCAAGGGTTGGTTTAAGGTGTTGTAACTTTGCGGGAAAAAATCGCAGTCGAGATTCTTTTTTTTTAGATTGAAGGGAAAGGATGGAGCTTCGTTCTGCTGCAAACGGCATCTGCGGAAAAAATTTTATAAAGTCTGTGCGCTTCGTCGAACTTGGCGTCAGCTTTGTCTTAGATAAATGATACGTGAGAGATAACATTTGAATTTATTATGAAAATATGGATATATATATTATAATTTATATTATAATCGTGTTATTTTATGTATTATAATATTGTAAATATATATTGCAATTTATTATTAAAAAGTATTCACAGTTTCGTAAGGCATTGACATCAAAGCAGATGGATCTTCGTAAACAGAATGGATGACTCTTCGGAACAAGAAAGCTCTCTCGAAAGAAGGTTCTTGCGAATCCAACCACAGAGCTCAGCTCGAACATCAAAAATCCCATTCCTGACGATTCCACGGGATCGTGGCCGTAATCGGATCGTTTGCATCCGCACTGATCCGAACGCAGGGTCGCGGCTGGAGCAACAAATAGCAGCACGTGGCGTTCAGTGACCAGAGAATGTCGCGCACGTGCCCGAATAACGCTCTCTCGCATCCCCGCTGCCAAGTCAAAAGACACGTAACCGACTTCGAACTTCCCCCAAATTACCCGCCATTCGAGATTATCGTTCTCGAGCTAACGAGCACGCGCCCCGGCCGACGGAAAAACGTCCCGTTCAATTGATACGAGCCGAGAAAATTCGACTCCGCGGGCCTCTCAGTCTTGAATAATATACCAGGGGATCGGTAGATTATTGCCCTTATTACCCTTATTAGTGCTACCCCTGTAGTGGTTCACAATCCTCTGTCGCGGGAAATTCGAATTCGGTCCTTAAATTGCTAAATAAATTTTCTTCACATTTTACGTGGTCCGTCCACTTTTTGGTTTATTTTCTTATTAGCCTCTTTGGTGGTTGTTCCGTAATTTCAACCCCCTTCTCTATATATTTTTAGGCGTTCGATTCAATTTAATTCGATCTAATTTAATTTAGCTTAATTTAATTCAATTCAATTTAATTTAATATTCTAAAAACGACTGCCAATTTCCCGACGAGGATTCATAAAAAGCGGTGAAAGATCTTAGATAATAGAAGATAACAATTCCCGAAAACTAATAAAGGTCGGAAGGGTGGAAATAAGTTCAACAAATCTTTCGACGTTGCAAAAATATCTACCTCGTCGCAGAATCTGCTTTGCAAACGCAACTGTTTCGTTTAATGTAACAATATGGGCGTGACCGTGGGCGTGGCTACTGGATCGCGGACAGTGGTGGGGGCCGGTGACCGCCAATCGGACGCAAGTTCCGTCGTCTAACAAGCTTGCCGGTGTCCAGACAGTGCTAAGATGAATCGACAAATCGGTTGAACTAATGTGCTACATCAAAATAGAACTTCCGTCGTCTCGCCACACAATTAAAAAACTTCACGATTCCAGCCAACGACAAAAGTGGGCGTGTCCGTGGGCGGGGCAACCAGATCCTCTAGACACCGTTAGAACCTAGAAACCGGCAATCGGGCCCGCGTTTTCATTAATAATCACCGGGACAACCGAAACTCGTTCGACCGATTATTCTCCCGCGGTTCGAACGAGACACCCGGTACAGGAGAATGGGCAGTAGGAGGGGGCCATTATTTCAGTTGAAAACAACAGCAATAAGCTTCGGGAACGTATTTCTTGATACTTTTGCTTGATATAATTCCGCGGCCGGGGTTTCCCTCGACGGTCGAACTGAAACTAAGCCAAACTACCCGGCCGTTCCCTACCCGACTACCCCCGGCATTCGATGTCTGATAAAACTTTTTCGCCCGTCCCTTCGCTCCGGCCCCGCGCGCCCATTTATAAGCTATTCCGCTCGCCTACCGGGTGTCACGAGCCCGAGGAGAACCGTATTCGAGGAGGATAGCCAACCGCCGCCGCCGCCGCCAACGTCGACCGAGTCCTCCTTTTACCCTCTGATCTTTAATAACAACTTTACCCGGAAAACTTTACCGATCTTATTGATTTACCGCCTCGGTAATCCGTCCGCGAAACTTTCGCTCCGCGAGAGAGTTTCCGTGAGCTCGTTTCCGCGATTCCTCCCGCCGGGGTAGAACGTGCGCCGCAAAAATCCCGGATAGGGAAATCGCCTGGAACACCTTTCACCCCTTCGTTCCACCTCGACCGGTAATTAGTTTCTTATTTCGGCGAAGAAGCACGATCTCTGTTCGGTAAAAAGGACCGTTTCGTTTTCGCAAGGCTGGAGCCGCGGATTTTACATTATACGAGCTGTTCCGTAATTGTATTAACAGACGGAAATTAGGGGTAGCCGAGGTGATTTCGAGCAACTTTTTCCTCAGCGAAAATGCGATCCGCGGCTTCGTTCACGAGTTATCAACGAGAAACGGTGGCCAATGAGAGGCGAGATGGGCTGGCGCGCGGCAGCCGAGCCAATCAGCGGCACTGGACCTCGTCCGCTGGGCCGCCGCGCGGTAGCGGAGCTCGCGTCTCATTGGTCAGCGTTTCTCGTTGATAACTCGCGAACGAAGCCGCGGATCGCATTTTCGCAAAGGAAAAAGTTGCTTCGAATATCGTCAGGAATCGTTGTTTTTCATAACATTGACATATAATTATGGGACACCGTGTAGAAGCGAGCGGAATTGGCACTCGAATTCAACTAAGAGGGCTCGGATCGAATCGAAATCACCGGGCCTAGGAATTTCTAATTCGCTGCGGGCATCGATTACCCTAAATATCGAGATCGAAATTACGATACAGCGAAGTTCCGCTGAACCCACGAACGACCCAAGTTCTCTCTCCTAAGCCATCTGTTGAACCTAGATTTCCATCGAGCTAACTCGCGCCTAAATCCTATTAAACCGGGGCCGCGATAACTCCAAACATCCCCGAACTCAAAATTGAATAAACTTCGGCCCGGTTATTAAGTCCCGGCTCCGTTAATTTCGAAATTCTTTACCGATCCCGAACTTGAGCGTGAAGAGAATTTCGGACGCGTAACAACGTTCCGCGTTGTGCTCGTTAATTAAATGGTAACTGCTTCGATATTTTGGACGAAACACTTGTAAAAATACGGTCTAAGAAAACGCATTCGATTTAGCCGATCCAAAAGATTTGGCTTTATTTATTCTTTCAATATTTAACCATTTGCACTCGAAGCCATATTAACTGTAAATTTAAATTAACTTTCCCGACTTATGGTATTCCCATTTTAATGACAAAGTGCATTTTATGCACATGAAATCGAGTCTTGTGACTCATACAACAGTTAGACTTTTAACAATTCTTTATACATAAGCTTTGTTATTATAATTATCACCAATCGAGTGCAAAGGGTTAATTTGTATGATTTCCTAGAATCTTCAATGCTGATCTCTCTTCGTTAATTTTAACATGTTTCTTCGATCTTTAATTTTATTAAAAAATCCAATGTTAAAGACAATCTATTTTTGCACAATTTGCTGCAAACATTTCTGATGCAACTGGACAGCGGATTCGATGCACTTTTGACAAAACTGGCAAGATCAAGAACAATACAATAATAAAGACATTACAATAATAATAATAATAATAATAATAATAATAATAATAATAATAATTCTAGATATTCGAAGAACTTGAGAATATTTCTATATTGTCCACATCTCATTAAGATAATTAAAAGAGGAAAAAGACATTTTCATCTGAGATTCAATTTCGCATCAAAATCGAAACATCAACTTACAATCGTACAAAAAACGAAATAAACCTAACTCTTCCGACTTGAACATGTGCCCAATAATGAACCTATAATTACTCATCGCTGTACTCCGGATTTATCCGCTTATGGCAAAAATGTGCACCATAGAATAGTGAAGAAAAAGAAATCAAAGAAAACTAAAAATGTTGTTACCTTAATTACAACTTACTGAACTTACTAAAAAGAGAGACAATGCTATACTTGGCTCCTACGTCTTGCAATCGATGCGGACAATTTCGCGGAAGGATCCGCGGTCTGCTAATTGCAGCCGCAGAAAACGGAGCCTGCGGAACGACAGAAGAGAGCTCGATCGAGAATCGCAGAGCCGAAACGACGATGCACCGTTAATCCGTCGGTTCTTCCGACCGCGGCCTCGACGATGCGCGTCGACGTTCCCTGACGCGTTCGCGCGAACGACGGTAAACAAACAGAATTCGCGGTGTACAGCGAGAGAGGGAGGGAGAGGCAGAAAGAGAGAAAGAGAGAGCGAGAGAGAGCGTCGGGGCGTCGAAATAGCACCGCGACGTCGGTTTCGCAACGCGATTAAATTATATCGGCGTAAAACAGGAACAGCGAGCCGCGATATAAAGTTTATTGCGCGCCGCGGGGAACGAACCGCGTCGACGCGGCTTTTCCGCGCGAGCGAAACTCCTTTTTTTCCCCTCTCGCTCCGCTCTCCTCTCCCACGTTCTCCAGAGGCCCGCACCACCGGTCCCCCCTCGCCCTCACGGTCACCCTTTTTCTCTTATTTCCGTTGCCGTTGCTCCGCCGATCCGCCCCGCGGCCGACGACGCGGCGTAGCCGCGAAATTTCAGGGCGCGCGTCGCGTCGCGTCTCTAGCTCACGCGCGCGAGCTCGGCCCGCGCCAGCCCGAACAAATAACGAGGGATTGTTATTGTTTTTACGCGCGACAGCCAGAGCGACGAATTTTACGAGCGCGCGTTAAACAGCTGAATATTACTGCGATCGTAAACTCCCTTTTATCGTTCGTTCGAATCGTTACGCGATTCCCGGCGGATATAGACATACGCGCGCGCGCCGCGCGGCTCTCGCCACCCTCTGTCGACGCCGGGCCCATCGGCTAATCGATCGATCGATCGGATGAATCTTGCGGAACCGAATCGATCGCGGACGTGCCGCCGGCTGTTTTCCAGCGGTATTCCAAATAGGCGAGAAATAAACCGCGGCGCATCGGGAAAAGCGAGTTCCGATTTTTTCCCGCAACTTCTTTGAATTATTGCGCCCGTTTGTACAAATCGCAGCGCGTCGAAACTAGGCTCATTTTAAAGCTTGCAGCCTCTACTATTGTTTCGCGTACTTCGTTCTCGTCGAAGTTGATTTTTACGGGATACAGCGAATGGGGAACGGTGTTCCTTTCGCGAAAATACCAGACGCGTCTGCTCTCTTACTGTATTTTGAAAAATCCGTGGAAGCATCGGACAATTTTTTTCCTCGATTGCAACTGCGACGGATACGAAGACTGAAGCTTCCTCTTTCCAGCGAGCACTCGAAAGTTGGTGTACGATTTTTTTCTGCGGCTGTTTCGCGGAAAAGAAACGCGGCCCCGCGATGGTATAGCCTGGTTTTTCGTGTGCGAGTCGGGTTAATTTTATCGAAGATTTTTCGTCGACGATCATGCATACGATTAAGATCTACATACTTGGAACTATGAATTAGAATTAAGCCCTCTGATTATTCCTTTTCTCGAACATTCTGTCGCGGTTACGTTTACGACGATCGTTCCGCGTTTTACGATAGATTAATGGACTGCGGACTTAATGCGTAAAGCGAATGTGCGGAATATTGAACAATTAATGCCGGCGGTACGCGTATATAATTGGATTGTTACTGATTTTTAATTAGAATTTAGGTTTACGATGACAATAATAATTTGTTTGATTGTCGTGGAGTATAACGCGGGAATATCTGTATTCGCGAATAGAATTTCACTGTATTCATTTTCATAATATTCTTAATGTACTTCGTATAATAATATATAATATATAATAATATATTAATAATATAATATAATATATATAATAGTATATTAATAATATAATATAATATATATAATCTGTCTCTTATACACATCTAGATGTGTATAAGAGACAGGAGCAGACGCGTCTGGTATTTGCGCGAAAGGAACACCGTTCCCCGCTGGCTGTATCCCGTAAAAAACAGCTTCGACGAGAACGAAGTACGCGAAACAATAGCTGTCTCTTATACACATCTAGATGTGTATAAGAGACAGGAGCAGACGCGTCTGGTATTTGCGCGAAAGGAACACCGTTCCCCGCTGGCTGTATCCCGTAAAAAACAGCTTCGACGAGAACGAAGTACGCGAAACAATAGCTGTCTCTTATACACATCTAGATGTGTATAAGAGACAGGAGCAGACGCGTCTGGTATTTGCGCGAAAGGAACACCGTTCCCCGCTGGCTGTATCCCGTAAAAAACAGCTTCGACGAGAACGAAGTACGCGAAACAATAGCTGTCTCTTATACACATCTAGATGTGTATAAGAGACAGGAGCAGACGCGTCTGGTATTTGCGCGAAAGGAACACCGTTCCCCGCTGGCTGTATCCCGTAAAAAACAGCTTCGACGAGAACGAAGTACGCGAAACAATAGCTGTCTCTTATACACATCTAGATGTGTATAAGAGACAGGAGCAGACGCGTCTGGTATTTGCGCGAAAGGAACACCGTTCCCCGCTGGCTGTATCCCGTAAAAAACAGCTTCGACGAGAACGAAGTACGCGAAACAATAGCTGTCTCTTATACACATCTAGATGTGTATAAGAGACAGGAGCAGACGCGTCTGGTATTTGCGCGAAAGGAACACCGTTCCCCGCTGGCTGTATCCCGTAAAAAACAGCTTCGACGAGAACGAAGTACGCGAAACAATAGCTGTCTCTTATACACATCTAGATGTGTATAAGAGACAGGAGCAGACGCGTCTGGTATTTGCGCGAAAGGAACACCGTTCCCCGCTGGCTGTATCCCGTAAAAAACAGCTTCGACGAGAACGAAGTACGCGAAACAATAGCTGTCTCTTATACACATCTAGATGTGTATAAGAGACAGGTATATTAATAATGTAATATAATATATAATAGTATATTAATAATATAATTATAATATACATAATAGTATATTAATAATATAATATATATATTATAATATAATATATTATATAATAATATATTAAGTATTATAGTTATAATTAAGTACTATTCTAAGTATACTTAATACAGCGTTGAATATACTCGCGCGTCGATAAAGATCAACTTAACGACGCGACCAAAAATCGTTAATCTTACAAAATGATAGAATCGATTATGGTTCGTCAACTTACCGATATAGTAGGGGTCGGCGTAAAGGGCCGCCGCTTTAGGGGACGTGTATCTCGGGGAGTCCTGTCCGAATTCATCCGAGCCATACTGCAACAAACAGAAGAAGGCAAATTAGAAGGGTTGGACAGGCGAAGCTGAAAGAAGAAAAAAAGAAGACGACGAAGGAGACGAAGAGAACCGCGAGAGAGCCGAGGTCATCCAACGAATAAAGTCTATCAATAATGCAACGGCACGGTCCCTCCCGCGCCTACAGCCGTGGATTATTGACACGCGGTTGCAGTTTCAGAGCAACACGTTGCAACAGCAGAGCACGGCCGTCTGAATGGCGTCAGTGTTAGTTAGAATGCCAAGCGTTTACGGCACAATGAAAATATGTGCCGAGGGATTATCACCGTGTTGCCAGAACGACGATGTTCTCGCGACTCAAGGATCAAAGTATTTTCGCGATGTACACTCGTCGCGATCATCACAGCGAGCTTCACAGATTCCTGCGTGTACAATTATCGCGTTATCGCATCATTTTATACAGAAATCAGACACGCTTCCGGTAGTAATTAATTTCTTGATTTTCCTTGTTCTCTTTTACCGCGAACAGCCCGCTGTTGAATCAATTTTTTCCCTCAATGGAATCAAATACGGAAGTGCGGCAGAAATAGAAATATTTGAATTTGAAGTATTTAATTATTAGGTACTGTAATTTTTCTGTTTTAATCGCGTAGTAATCCAGGCTCAATTTTATGCGGATATTATGGAATCTGTTAGCTTCAGATTTTAGGTTTAACGTTTCGCTATAGTGCGAAATTATTGTTGTTGTCTCAATTGTTTAGTTATTATTTGATTTCTCAGGTGAGAATATTTATTTAGCAGAGAACGTAGAGAATTCTACAATATTTATAACGTTGTCATAACGGATGGTGCATGGACTCTGAGATCATTTTTTGGACGCTTTCTGTGGCTTAAAACCACCCTCCCACTTACAAAGTCAACAATTTCGCTGAGTTATTCTTTATAAAAATACTCAATAATGTATAATTTATTACAATCCTTCTAAAAATCGTCCGAAAATTACGAACTTATTTTACCTAACCCCTAAAATTGTTTCACAGACTTCTTCGATTGCCTCAAGCCACCCCTTACTTCCAAAATCAACATCTCCTCACTGTTTATTCATACAAAAACATCTAACAATCTACAATCGTCACAATTACCTTATAAATGATTTCAAAATTAAAAACACAATGTACACAACTCCTAAAATAAATGTCTTCTCTTCTCTTCGACGACCTTCCTTACACAACCAACTCGTTCCACACGACATTACATAAGAACATACAGTCACCATAACCTTCCTAAAACCCTCAAAAATAAGAATTCACCATACACAACCCTTAAAACCGTTCTCTAGCCACTTCAAACGTCCACGAACCACCTGCAACCCCCACAAAAACGACTAAAAATCATCCACTCGCGGCAGCCCTGTCAAAAAACCGTCTAAAACCCTTCCCACCGTTTCCAAAACAATTCCCCGATCTGCTTCGAGGAGCACGGTGCACTCGCGCCACTAAAAACCGTAAAATATATTCCCGAGTGAGAATGCACCGAAATCCGGCGCACGATCACCGGTAAGACCGCAGAGAGCGTGGTCCGAATCGATCAAAAACAGTGTCGCCTGGCGGTATAAATCCGTTCGCGACTCTTACCATTCTGTATCCGGTGTAGTCCGCGGGGCACACAAACATCTCGCCGGCGAGCGGGTAGCGCCGAAACGACGGGGACGAGGAGAAGAAAGAAAGAGGAAGTAGAGGAAGAGGAAGAAGAGAAAAGAAGAAAAAAGGAAGAGGAAGTCAGATCGCGTGGTGGGACAACATAGCGGCGCGGGGCGCGGGGGTTGTGTAGCCGGCGATCTACGACGGTGGGACGCGGTCACGGGGGTGGAAAGCTACGGCCGGGGGTTGAGAGTCTCGCGGCGGCATACCCTCGTCCCAATTTCGCCGTGATATATGTTAAAATATTCCGCGCCGCTTCTCCGGCTCCTCTCGCCCGCCTCGCCTCGCCGCGCCGCGCCGAAAACTTTCGTCCGCGGGTCTTCTCCCCGCCGCCCTCGGCCTCTGCTCTTCCGCCACCTCCACCTGCTGCCAGCGCGGACGAAAAGCGCCGGGGAGCCGAGAGGGACAGCCAAGTTTCGCCTAACGCGGGGACTATGGTCGTCGAATTTCAGCCGTGAAAAGCCGAAACTTCTCGGCGCTCGTTCCGGCAACGAAAACCACCCCCGGAGATGCGCGGAGCGGCGAAAATGCGCGGAAATACGGGCGGTCTCGTGGCCCCGACGATCGGCTCGCAAGCACTGCACACTTCGCGGAACACACTGGGGCGGCACTCAAGGGTTGAACGGAGAGAGAAAGAGAGAGAGACAGGCGTGTCTCGCGGCGGTGCCAACGAAGAAAAACGGGACGCCGAACACGCGGAGGGTGACGCGAGACTGCGAGCGGGCTCTGGCTGCGGCGCCGTGACGCGCCGATTCACCGACCAAAAGAGTGGGGCACGATACCCGGCCAATGAGAGCCGGCGAGGGGCTAAGACGCGTTAGGTGTCGTCCTTTTGATAGTAACTGTCGTTCGTTCCCACTTCGAGCACCGACCAATTCGCACAATTGCGACCCGGACCTTCTGCCAGCCGGCGAACCATTGTTTCAGACACGTCCGGCTGGGTCGACGAAGTGGCTGCCTTCTCGGCTGTACCTGTCTTGATTTTTTCCGATGGTCGAGTACTGTTTCGTCCTTGGAATTTTCGAGGCTTCCTGTCGTAGAACGTTTCACGAAATTTTTGCCAGATTTTTCGACTCGGGCTTGCCCGGTCTTTAATTTGGAGGATTTTACGCTTTCACTGTTAGTTGGTCTCGGATGGGAAACGTAATTTTTACTGAACCCCTTGCTGTTGTACTTTGACGAGTCTGGCTCGTCATGAAAATTTCTAGTATTATTATATTATTGTATTATTATTTTATATTATTATATTATTATGTTATTATATTATTATATTGTTATATTATTACATTATTATATTATTATATTGTTACATTATATTATTATATTATTATATTATTAGTTATATTATTATTCTAGTAAATAACTTATTGAGTATAGACGTTATCCTGTCCTTCAAAATAGGAATAAAATTCGGATCCCTTGTCATCAATATTTAAGCACTCAAGTAAATTTAAGCACACAATAAGCATCAATATTCTTTCTCTTTTAAAGAAATTATTGCAGCCGAAAAATATTTAATCGCAATAACTGCGAAGAATATGCTACGTCAAGGGGTTGATGTATAATATTCTCCAAATATTATTGGAACTCGCAAAGTGTAAGAATGTGAAAGAGTTGTCGATGTCACAACTTAACTTTTCAATTTTAATATGATTAAATCAGACATCAAGCTCGTTGTCTCTGTCAGCGATATTTAGATTGTACTAATTTAATTCTACACCTCTGTGACGCTGTTCGTTCGACCGACGGTGGCGCCGAATTTTTATAGAATTTAATACCGTGTAGAATTTCCGGAAACTTTTCGCTTTGGGACGATATGACGTTAAACCGCATTTAACAGCGTCGATCTCTCGGCGGTGTATAAATTGCCGGAATAAAAATCTCGCAAACCGTCGATAAACTCCCATTATATTGATAAGACATTATGAAGTTTTAACGTTCGCTGCCGGTGGCGTCCCGACGCATTTAAAACAGAGTCGTAATAAAACGCAATAAAATAAACAAGTTCGCCGAGATTTAACAGATTTATCATCGTGTGACAACGAGTGAGAGAGAGAGAGAGAGAGAGAGAGAGAGAGAGAGAGAGAGAGAGAGATACCCGTAATAAAATGAATAAATTTGTACCCGCCGCCCCCGACAAACGAATTCGTACGAAATTCGTATCTCCGTAAAAATCAATTGCAGACAAACGTTTCTGTCGCGTCTCCCGGAAGCTTCGAACATTTTCAACGGCCGAATAACAAACGGAAAACGGGCGATTACGGTTTCCGCTGTCTCTAAAAAAATTTGTATTAACAGCGCTTCAAAATAGCTGGCCGAGCGCGTCATCTCTGACAAATGATCTTTGTTTCTTTCATACGTTTCAAAGAACGCGAGCAGAATTTTTTATTTTTTATCAAAGCGTTGCAAATTTCATTGCAACATAAATATCAATTCTTCCCTGAACATTTCTATTTTCCATTACTTTTAATATAAAAAATATAATATAATATAATATAGAAATAAATAATAATATAATATAATATATAATATAATATAGAATATAATAATATAAAATATATAATATAAAAAAAGCGTACTAACACCGATGTTTCGCTATATTTTTGTTCAAACGTCAATAAAAAAATGCGAATCCGTAATTGTTCATGCCACCGTATTTTTATCGACAAGATCCGATTGTTAATTATCGTCGATATACATATAATTACGTCCGCCGGCAACGAAACCCCCGGATTCCGGGGAAGAAATTCGGTCGAAGGGGTGGCGGCTCGACGGAAACCGCCCCCCTCCCCTGAAAGGGTGAACATCGCGGCAAAGGATGGCGGGAAATCTGATCCGAGGAACAAAAGATCTTCGACAGCGTTCCGCGATGCATCCGTATCTCGGTAACGGCGAGGGGGTGTGCGAGGAGGACGGGGGTCGAGCGCGGCTCGGCGGGGGCGAGCGGGGATGGGCAGGACGAGGCACATAATTGTACGCGATAAAAGCGTCGAGTTTATCGCGGCAGCAGTCGATAACGGCTTACAAATACGAACGGCCGTGCCCCGGGGTGGGGGCAGAGTCACCGGAGGAAAAAAAAAGCCGCCGCTAATCACGCGATAAACGCTCTCGGCCTCTGGACCTATTAATTTAAATGAATTGCTTTGACATCGGGCCGCTCTGATACGCTCTCCCGTATACGATTTCACTTCTTCCATCGGCCCCCAGGCTTTTCTCTTTTCTCCGGCGAGCGTTTCCCCTTTCGTTTCTTCGGGGCTGCGGTGATTAACGGGGCCGCTCGTTAAATTGAAAACATCTTGATTCCGATGTTCCGTTCGTATA